TCATTAATATAAGCAAAACTGTTTCTATTTAAATACAGCCACTTGTTTTTATATCCAGTACTTTTATCACAGTTCAAATTTAACTAACTATAGAAATGATCCCTGAGAGTATAGTCTTTCATAGTTCAAATTTAAATGTTTTCTATTAACATTTTTTATTCCCTTTTAACTCATAAATTATCCAGGAAGTATAGGCAAGGCTACCTGACTAGGAGAATTCTGGGAGGAGGAATGCAGAGGGCGTGTCTCTAGGGAGATGCCATGTAGCTGCCAAGAAAGCAAGAGGCTTCGGGAACACCAGTAAGCCAAGACCATGTGGAGATACACAGATTAATAGAAAGGGGATAATAAATAAGAGAGAGCTAGTCAATAAGAAGCCTGAACCAGCAGCCAAACAGTTTATAATTAATATAAGCCTCTGTGTGCTTATTTAGAACTGAAGGGCTGCAGGACCAGGCAGGACAGAAACTTCTATCTACACATCTGTTTCCTGTTTTTTGTTTTGCTTTTTCCTTTTCTGTTTCTATATGTGTTCATATGCTGTGGGGTGTGTGTGTGTGTGTGTGTGTGTGTGTGTGTGTGTGTGTGTGTGTGTGTGTTTGAGAGAGAGAGACAGAGACAGAGGCAGAGACAGAGAGAGAGAAAGAGAGAGCGTGTGTGCGCATGTGTGTGCATGTTCATGTGAACATGTATAAAATGCAAAGGAGGCTGCCATGTGTACCGATCTGTTACTCTCCATCTTATTTTCTTGTGACAGGGTGTCTCATTGAATCTGGAACCATGTTAGCAGCCACCAAAACCCATCAATCCCCCTGTATCCTCCCTTCACGGAACTGGGGTCTTAGACACAGACAGCCATACCTGGCTTTTTTTCTGTAGGTTTTGGGGATTCACTCTCAGATCCTCAAGCTTACTGAGGAAGCGTCATTACCTACTGAGCCATCTTTCCAAGCCCTTCCATTATTTATTATTGATTTCTGGTTTGTTCTCATGCTATATAACATCTCCACAATTCACTAAGATTGGCATTTGGTCTAGTAGATGATCAATTTAGTGTTGAAATTCCATGTTACTGAGATTTGTGTATTGTCTTTGTCTGCTGTGCTACATAACTCTTCAATAAATTTAGCTTGTTAATTGTGCAGTTCAAATTCTCTGTGTGTCCTTACAGTGTTTTGATAGGCATCACCTGAAAGATAACAAACTCTTATGAATTTCTTATAACCATGTCACCTTCTGCTTTGTAAATATGAAGCTGTGTTTTAGTTGTATATAATTTGGGATGTTCTGGTGAGTTCTTTTTGCCTCTTTTTTCAGTTATAAATTTTTCTATTCATGATGCTATTTTGGGGGGCTAGTATTTCCCTGGAGGGTGTTCTTGTGCTCATTTTTAGGATTTTGTTTGCTTGCTTGTTTGGTCACATTTTGAGTGCGATTCTGTAAACAGTCTAAATCTGAATTGTTCTCCTAACTCCACTACTAGCTGCTGTTTTCTGTTTTAAGCAGGAAAGCTTGGCCACTGTGATTGGTGTGCTGGCCGATCTATTTGGGCTTCTTTTCAACCCCTTACGGCATATTATCTTGTACTTTCTGTTTGTTTTGCCTTTCTGATTAATTTCTTTTTCTCTTGTAATTTACTGTCATGGTTGACTTTTCTTGTTCCTGCTTTTTCATTTGAAATTACACTTTTTATTTCATTTGTAGCTCCACAGAAGGCTGCCTGCATGGGGGTGTGTGTGTATGTGAGTGCATGCATACAGAAGGTGTGTGTGTGTGTGTGTGTTAATGTGAGTTTGTGCATACATGCATGTGTGTGCATACAGAAGCCAGAGGTCAACCTTGAGTGACATTCCTCAGATTCCGCCATTTTTCAGACAAGGTCTCACTGGTCTTGGACTTGCCAAGGAGGCTAGGCTGGTGACCAGTGGACCCCAGGTATCTACCTTTCTTCAGCTCTCCAGGGCTGGAATAGCAAACCACTCCTGGTTTTAGCACGTGAGTTCTAAGGCATGAACCCAGGTCCTCATGCTTGCAAGACAAGCGTTTTGCTAAGTGAGCTGTCATCTCCCAGCTATCTTCCGGTCCTCACATAAAACTTGTAAAGCTATTTTTAATGCATAAATTTTTAACACTTGAACTTAGCAAACTTTAAATGTCACCAGCCATGCTCCAGTTCCTGAACCCTATGGAAACTCCAAGAGTGATTTCTGTTTGCCATCCTCGTTGAGCTTACATCACTGGCTTACTGCTTCTTATCTGACTTAGTCCTGTTGATTTCCTGTGAATGGGTTAAGTGCTTGCCTTGGAAACATAACCAGTATTTGAGACCCTGAGCTTATGTAATAACAACAACAACAACGATGATGATGATGATGATGATGATGATGATGATGATAAATGCTAGGTGTGGTGGAACACAGTTGTAAGGTAAGGTAACTGGGGAAGTAGAGACAGGCAGATAGATCCCAGTGGCTCATTGGCAAACCAATCTTATCTGCATGGTGAGTTCAGACCAATGAGAGATCCTGTCTCAAGAAAACAAGGTGGAAAACCCCTGAGCAACTGAGGTTGACTCCTCCCCCGACACACACACTTTCAAAATCATAAGCTAAAATAAGTCTTTTGTCTTCATGAGCTAATTATCACAGGGGCTTGCTACAGTAATAAAAAGCCGATTCCCACAGGCTTCTCCCCTCATTATGGCCTGCACTTTGACAGTCCCCATCAGAAACAGTGTCAATTGGGCCCATGAGCAGGCCATTAGTGCTCCCTGGCACTGGAGGTTAAGGAAGTGGAGCATCTCAGGACTGCTTGGCTTCTAATGGACCAGAAGGCAGCTGATGGACTCCAGGGACTCTGCTGCAGGTCATTTGCAGAGGACACTCTTGGAGATCATTGGGAGAAGGCCTCACGTGCGTTCCTTCTTGAAGTCAGGGATGATTGCATACACTCCTTCAGACCCTACACGCACTTTCATTCCACCTACACGCACTCAGCTTGGTGCTTGTCCCAAACACTATAATCTAGCAGAACAGACGTCTGCCTGCCTCTAATAAGACAGTGTCAGACTGTACTGTGTGGAATGGAACTTCCTCAAGCCCTCGGCTTATAGTTACTTTCTCACCTTTCTCACTATTGAGAAATGGCATCCTTCATGGACACCCACGCGCGACCCTCTTCCATGAAGCACCTACCTGTGTGTTCTACCCACACCTGTGAGTTCTACCCACCCACCTGTGAGTTCTACCCACCCACCTGTGTGTTCTACCCACACCTGTGAGTTCTACCCACCCACCTGTGAGTTCTACCCACACCTGTGAGTTCTACCCACACCTGTGAGTTCTACCCACACCTGTGAGTTCTACCCACCCACCTGTGAGTTCTACCCACACCTGTGAGTTCTACCCACACCTGTGAGTTCTACCCACACCTGTGAGTTCTACCCACCCACCTGTGAGTTCTACCCACACCTGTGTGTTCTACCCACACCTGTGTGTTCTACCCATCTACCTGTGAGTTCTACCCATCTACCTGTGAGTTCTACCCACACCTGTGAGTTCTATCCACACCTGTGAGTTCTACCCACCCACCTGTGAGTTCTACCCACCCACCTGTGAGTTCTACCCATCTACCTGTGAGTTCTACCCATCTACCTGTGAGTTCTACTCTCTTGTGTCCATTTTCCTGAAACATTGGGATTTGTAGTTCTTTGCTGAAGACCTCATCAGCTGCCTTCTCTCTTCTCCTAGTTTCTGTGTGGCCACTCAGCCAGCTTGCTTCTGAAATCCACTTCCAGTTAGGCTGCAAAAGGCCACACCCCTTCTTCTGGCTGGAGGAACCACACAGGGTGCCTGTGTGGACGGGGCAGGGCCCTGGGATTCCAGACAACCTTCGTCAACCTGTTCAATCTCTCAGCCTTTCCAGCACCATGAGGAAGTTAATAAAGACTTTCTATGGCTGGGACTGGAGGACCTTTCCCTTAGATTCACAGGGGAGCTACAGAAATGTGCATACCTGTTTCTGTAAGTGAGCCCAAACGCCTGTGCTTTGTCACAAAACATGTCAGTGTGTGTTTTCAAACTTTTCAGGTAAAAATTTCTAAAAGTTAATTGAATTTAAAAAAAAATGTTCTCAAAGGGTCTGTGCAGATGGTCCAGTGGCTAAAGTACCTGCTTTGCAAACCTAAGGGGATGGATCTGAGTTCAAGTCCCCAGCACCATTTAAAAACCGTGTACCCCAATGGTGGGATCCTGCAACCCGCCTACATACAGAGGAGACAGCACGGCGGCTTAGACTTGCTGGCCAGCTAGTGTAGCCAAATCGTGAGCTAGATACTATGTTTCAAAAATTAAGGCAGAGATTAAAAGAGGAAGATGTCCAGTGCCAACCTCTGGCCTCACATATACATACACACATGTATATGAGCCCCTGTACCCACATACAAGCACATTCAATGTATGTACGTGCACACACATACACACGGAATATTTTCAAATTACGAGTAGTGAAGTTTAAAGCATCTGATAACCATACAAGTTGGACAAATAGCTATGCCCTTGATCTGCCCCATAGCGTGTGACTGCTCAGCGGAAACCGTTCATCTGAAGTTACATTTATCAGTGTAAGGAACTGCGTGCAGGTTTAACTTTGCTTTCTTGGGTGTGATCCTCATCCCCACACTAGAAGGAGGGTTTTCTCTCTCCTGGGGCTTCTTCTACTCCCCAGCAGTCAGAAGGACCACACACAAGTTACATAATTTCCAACTCTCATTGTCCACAGCACAGTTACATCCCAATTCTGGACGGACTGAGAACGCTGAAGTTCCCACACTCCCGGGAAAAGCCCTATTGTGTTGCAGCCATGGTAACACAGCAGCAGAACCAGTGCTAACCCCTTTCAATGGCCTCAGGGAAGATATTTTGCAGCCAACCAATCAGTATCACCCCTGTGTGAAATTCAGCCAATCAGAGAACAGACTCCTCTGTCCCCAGCCTCAGTGGTTGGTGGATCAGCGCTCCTGCTGCTTGGCTCCCTCCTGGAGACAGCCTGAACCACAGTGTCCTGCTTGCTTGAGTGAGCAGTAAGTCCGGTTTTGCTTTTGATTTCAGAGTTGAGAGATGGTCCCCGTTGTCCTTGATAAAGTTGTCATTCAATGTATACATTGTGACTATGCTAATTTAGACTTTCAGTCCCAAGCCTTTTATACACAACTTTTTAAATTTTTCCTGTAGTTAATGTCTGCTTAGTGGTTTTCATCGGCTTCGCTTTCTTTTCCTGCTTGGCATCTTTTTTTTTTTTCTTCAGTTTTAACCAAACTGCCTAACTATTCTGCATTACATCTGCTTCTTTTTGTATAAACTGGGGACATGACTGCTCCAAGGTATGCTAAGCGGAAGATTTCTATTGTAGATACAAGGGAGAGGACAGCCAGAGACATCCGGAAGAGCTCAGAGCAGAGAGAGAAAGCAGGTGACTGAACATGGTCACCGGACTGGACTGGGCTGTGAGAGGAGAGAGACAGGGAGAAATCAAGAGAGGAAGACAGAGAGAGCATCAAGTGAGGAGGACGAAAGAAAGAGGGAGCATGACCAAACTAGCAGGGTTACACGGAGAAATGAGGAGCTGGAGCCCATGAGCTGAAGTTTAGGATAAGGGCGGGTGAGAAGGGCCAAGATGCCAACATGGACTCCGTATGTGCCTGTAACAGGTACGTGTGATCCCAAGGGATCCTGGAGGCCAGCGCGTGCTTAGGAATGTGCTTTGGTATGCTAATAGACACCACAGACAGCCATTTGTCCCTTCTGCCAGTGATAAGGGAACTGGCTCCTTTGGTAGCTCCTGAGGAATGCTGGCTTTTGCCTAACCTCCAGAATTTGGGGAAGTGTAAGTTTCTTTGCACCTGAGAATTTTTGTCTGTAGTTGTGCCAAAATTATCCTCAAACTCCTCTCCACTCCTTGCACCCCTTCCCCATGGGTGTAAAACTGCTTTCACTTCATTCCCCTACATCAGTTTAATCCATTAACTTTGTTTTCTGTGAAACCTCCCTGGAAGGCCCTGACCACTCCATCTGCTCAGCCAGGGAGAGGTTTCTCCTCACTACTCTTCTGGGGAGCCTCTTTAGCTCCCCATCCCATTGTTTCCTGCACCCTGGGCAGTGACATTCTGGAGCAATGTGCACATCTGGAAATGTCTTACATTCCCACACATGATTGCTAGCTGATGTTATAGGCTCAGTTGTGTCTACGGCAGATTCATATGTTGAAGTCTTAACTCCTCTCTCTCGGATTCTGACTATATTTGGAGACATGGCCTTAGAAGAAGCAATTAAGGTACTATGGGGCTGTTAGTGGGAGCCTTAATCCAGCATGCCTAGTAGGAGCTGGGGTCTGTGGGTAAGAGAGCTTGCTGTACACATAAGAGGACATGAGTTTGGCTCGCCAGCACCCATCTAAAAGCCATATGTGGCTATGCACGCCTGTGTCACCAGCATTCTAGGTGAGGAGTGGAGAAAAACAGGAGGATTTCCAGGGCTTGCTGGTCAACCAGCCTAGCCAATAATGATATCAACAACAACAATAACAATAGTGAATGGTGAATGCTAGGCTAGATGAAAAACCTGTCTCAAAGGGAATAAGGCAGCGCACAATAAAGGAAGATATCCAGTGTGCCGCTCGGACATGCACACAGGCATGCACACACACATGTACACACATGCATATATGATACATGAATACGGCACTCAAAAAGATAACAGGAAGAAATTAGGACACAGACGATGCAAAGTGACCTTGTAAATAACAAGCCTGTAAGTGTGGGGTGTGGGGTGTGGGGTGTGGGGTGTGGGGTGTGGGAATAACCATCTCCGAGTAAGGAGAAAAGCCCAGGAAGAAATCAAACTTGCTGACACTTGAGTCTCAGACTTTCATCACCCACAGATGTGAGAAAATGTGTTGCTTGGCTGAAGCTTCTAGGGCTGTGACTGGGGCTCTGGCAGCTGAGCAAATGCACAGAGCTAGTGCAGTGTGGCCCAAATCAACATGATCTTCCTTCAGAATTTTGAAGACATCGCTGCTGCCTTCCAGCCTTCTGAGTTACAAGAAGCTCCTGAACTGCTCAATTCTTGGGCCATGGCATCTGACCCCAGCCGCCTTGTCCGAATGTCCCTCGGAGAGCTGGTGGCTCTTCTGCTTCCCCTGGGTGCCCTGAAATCTGAACAGCGATCAATCATAAGCACCATCTTGAGTGCTTTCACATTAAACCCCAGCCCCTCCCCCAGCGTGCACCAGGCTCCCAGAACCCAGGTGCTGGCTGAGAAACTGAGGCAGGCATTGGAGAAAGAAATAAAAGGGTCCTTTTTGCTAAGTATGTCTGGCACAGGCTGGTGCTGGTAGGATTCCCTGGCGTCTGATGGGCCATGCTGGTCCTGCCAACCTGTGATCCCCCAGCACCTGATGCATACTCATGAGCCCAGCTCTGCAACCAACTTTGGGGTAGCATCAAGTTGTCATGTCCTGCACCTGGTAGCTTGTAGTTAGGAACTCAAAAGCAAACTTCCAGGCTTTGTTGGCCCTGAAAGAGACTCCTAATATCTCTTCAAGTCGGTTTTTGATTTCAGAGAAGTCCTTCCACAAAATGTGGGATCATCCTTCCAAATGACCTAAGGTAAACTTGTTCATTATAATGTTAAATTCTCTCCTCCACCATCTGTGAACACATAGTGTGTGAAACGGTGTAATCACCAACAGAGCATGCTAATTAAGAGGCCTGGCCCTACTGTGTGATGACGTCCATACAATACGAATGTGCCCGAGGTTTCCCAATAAAATCACCTCGTGTCCATGTTTGCTGACACCTTACCTAAAAATTATCCCCAAGCTGTCCTCACAATGGAAGAACTCCCTCTACCATCATCTCCCCAGGCTTCTTATGGCTTTGTAGGCACCAAGAGTGACCCCGTTCTGTTTGGGGAATCATCCTCTGTGGGCCCACGCTGTCCTAGATCACTCTGGAAGTAATGAATGGCTCACTATGTCCATAATGCTGACCAGTTACAATGGTTGACAGTAATTGTCAACCTAACACATAGGAGTCAGGCCTCTAGGTAGACCTGTGATGAATCACCTAGATGAATGCTAGGCTCTGAGGATGTCTCTGAGGGGTATCTTATTATGCAAATTGATGTGGGAAGACTCAATTATGGGTGGCCCCATTCCCTAGGCAGGGGACCCTGAAAGTGGAAATGCTGATCTGAGCACCGGCATGCATTATTCATTGCTCTCTGCTTCTAACTGTGACTATAATGTGACTGGGACTTCCCAGCAATAACATATTATACTTGGAAGTATAAGATAAATAAAACCGCATAAATAAATGACTTTTGTCAGAGTGTTTTTAACACAGCACCAGCTAAAGAAACTAAGACAGCATCAACTCTACAGTCTTCTGGGGAGATGGTTCAGTTTCAGAACTATCGAGGTTAGAATAATGGATAGGGTTGAGTTTTGTTATGAGTGCATGCGTGCGTGCGCGTGTTTGTGTGTGTGTGTGTGTTAAAATTAGCTAATCCCCTCTGTTCCTCTGTTCCATTTTCTGCTCAACTAAATTGGGCAGTAATTGCTTAATTTTGTCTTTTAAATTTTTAACAAGAACAGTTATCAAATGTTTGCTATTGTAATTAGTAAGAATGTCTTTTAAATCTAAAAGCAATTGTAGTGCCTTGACACTACACTGTTCTGGGCAGAGAAGAAAGCTCTCCTCTCTCTCTCTCTCTCTCTCTCTCTCTCTCTCTCTCTCTCTCTCTCTCTCTCTCTCTCTCTCTCTCTCTCTCCCTCTCTCCTGCCTCTCCCATCCCTCCCTCCCCATCTCTGTTCATATGGAAGGGTGGGTTTGTATGGGTGCATACACTTGTGTATTCTTGTATGAAATGTGAATTTGGAGGTCAAACTTCAACCTTGAGAGTCTTTCCCTCAGATGCTGTCTTAGGGGTTTTGTTGAAAGACACCATGACCATGGCAACTCTTTTAAATAAAACATTTGCTGGGGGGTAGTGGCACACACATTTAATGCCAGCACTTGAGAGATAGAGGCAAAGGGATCTCAGTGAGTTCAAGGCCAGCCTGGTCTACAAAGCAAGTTCCAGGACAGCCAAAACTGTTACACAGAGAAACCCTGTCTCAAAAAGACAGAAAATAAAAACAAAAAAGAAGGAAGGAAGGAAGGAAGGAAGGAAGGAAGGAAGGAAGGAAGGAAGGAGGGAAAGGAAGGAAGGAAGGAAGGAAAGAAGGAAAAGATTAATCTCGGGTGGCTCGATTACAGCTTCAGAGGTTCAGTCTGTTATCGTCATGATGGGGAGCACAGCGGCATGCAAGAAGATGTGGTGCTGGAGCCGACAGTGCCACATCTTGACTCAGCCGCAAGAGGAAGTCAACTGCTGTCACACTGAGGGAAGCTTGAGAAAAAGACTTCAAAGTGACACACATCCTCCAGCCAGACCACACCTTCTAATAGTGCCACTCCCTTTGGGGCCATTTTCCTTCAAACCCCCGTAAATAACCATCTTGTTTTTTTTTTTTTTATGTATATGGCTAGGGGCGCCAAATAGTCATAGTCACTAATTAGGCCTTGATCATGCATGTACACCACCAGTCCAGGTTCTCACAGACCAAAGTACAGTCAGCTCCAGTGTCAATAAGGGTTAACACCCTTTGTGCATCAGTGGGGGGATCAATGAATAGTGAGATTAACAGATCTTCCCGTAAAATACACTAGGAATGCACCCAGCCTTGGCATGGTGGGCAGAGGCCGGCTGTTTGCAACACAGGGCAGCCAGGGCTTCTCAAGAGCAACTGTTTCATTTGGTGAGCCTGGCATATTTTTTTTTAACCACCAGACTATCAGTATTAAGTACAAGTGGTGGTTTATTTACTCATAGTCTCTGGCAATTGGCCAGCGTTGGTCCATACCAGACATACTCTGGCTATGAGCAGCTCATTAGCAACTGTTCTCCCCAGTTTTGTGGCCTTGGGACCCGTAGGCATTTCCTCAAAGAGGGATGAGTTGTGACAGAGGTCAGTTTCTCCATCTGTCCCACAGTTAATGAGACATTCTTCCCCCCTATCCCAGAGGTTCAGCAACCAGGCAAGGACTGGCCCCCCAGGGCTCTGTCTGCATTCCCTTCCTTTTGATAAAAGGGACTTAATGCTCTAAATCACGCACTGAGGTTTTCTCTTGGCTCTCAATCGTTCTTTGACTTCTCACTGCAAAGTGTCTTCAAGGCCAGTTTTCAGCACAGTCAAAACCTTCTTGATCTCCATCTGCTCGGTTCCCAGTGACTCAGGGCTCAGTCCACCTCTTCAGAATCCTGCTGACTCTGCCAGATGTGAGGTCCAGGTTACGATGCAGTATAAAAAGGCAAAGAAAGAGAAGAGATTGTGAGGAAATGCAGGTAAGCGAATGCATTTCCTTCACTCTGGGCAAAGGCCACTAGGCAGGCAGACATCGTCAGTCACCCAGGCACACCCCAGCACATTCATGCCACATACAAGCAGGCACAGGCACACACACAGGGAGATCAGTACACAGGCTGCATAGAGATATAAACACGCAGGGCTACAGACAGACACACACAGGCAGTCTGGTAAAGGCTCGAGTAAAAGCTAAGGCTTCTGGACCTAAAGGTCATATTTGTACAAATAAATACATACATAAGTGACATCTACCAGTCAGAGTAGTTTTGCTTTATGAAACTATTTCCTTTTGGGTTCCTCCCAAACATCTGGTGACAACTACTTTTTTCTGACTCATAAGCCCCTGGATGTTCAGTGTTAGATATCTTGGACCATTCCCGTTATTCACAAACTGGTCCATACGGCCCTCTGTTCCCAGTAAAGGACCTCTCACTGCCATGTAACTCACTAAGTGGGGTAGGCTCACTGGCCAGTGAGCACCAGGGATCTGCCTGGCTCTGTGTCCCCAGCACTAGGATTGCAAGTGTGCACCACTGTGCCCAGTTTTTACTGTTTTGTTTTTAATGGGTTCTTGGAATCAAAACCCAGTACTTTATTAATTAATCAATCTCCCCACCCTCACCTCTGTTTTCCCTGTTACTTGTGATGAGAAGCTCTGATATATATATATATATAAGATAGACAGACAGAGCACTGATAAGATGTAAAAAAGATACATAACCTCATTTTCTATTCTAGAGACTGAACCCAGAGCCTTGAACAGAATAGGAAAGTTGCCTGTTACTGATCTGTACACTCAGCCCTTTTTTTTTTGCTTGTTTGTTTGTTGTTTTGAGATAGGCAGATCTCTAATAGAGTAGCCTGGAATGGCTAGCACTTGCTATTCTGCTGTCTCAGTCTCTTGAGTTCTGGGATTACACAAGTATGCCAACATGCCTAGATACACTGATTTATTTTTCCATTTTACTTTCACATTGTGTGTGTGTGTGTGTGTGTGTGTGTGTGTGTGTGTGTGTGTGTGTGTGTACTTGCCATGGTATACATGTAGCCAGAGGACAATCTGTTGAAGTTGGTTCTCTGGGGATAGAATTCAGATTATCAGATTTGGGGGCAAGCGCCTTTACCTGCTGAGCCATCTTGTCAGCCCTGATTATTTATTTATTTGGATGGATGGATGGATGGATGGATGGATGGATGGATGGACGGACGGATGGATGGATGGATGGACGGATGGCAGGGCACAGTGTGACACAGTCCCACTGGCATAACTTGGGACAGAGTATAATGGCTGAAGGAAGAAAATTATATAAATAAATTATTTTTTGGTGAGCTGGGAATCTAACTTTTGGGCTCACACAGGCTAGACAAGAATTCTAATTACTGAGACATATCTATCTCTAGTCCATTGGTTTTTATATAACAACCTGACAAAGTTAATTGTCTTAGCCTTAGAAAAAAATATAGAATGTAAACATTTGCAATTGAATAAAAATTATTCAATTCAGTGTTCAGTCTATCCTCTCCTCAAGAATGGCCAAGCATTTTTGCTTCTCTTGTTCCCAACACACACACACACACACACACACACACACACCACAACCCTTTGCATTCTGTCAGCCCTGTCCAGCTCAGACAACAGAGAGGTAGAGCACCAAACCTTCTAGGAAACACCTACCTTCTAGGCTCCATCCACATTCTTTCTGTCTTCTTCCCTGACCAAAATATGGCCCCTTGAGATGCTGAAAGCTGTTGCTCTATCACGACAAGAGTTTATGCCCATAGTATGCCAAGACCTCTTTCAAGCTGGCTTAAGGATGGTGCAATGGCTCATCTGATGGCTAGCTTTTTATGTCAACTTGACACATGCTAGAGTCATCTGAGAAGAGGGAATCTCAACTGAGAAAACATCTCCCTAGGCAAATGCATAGGGAATTTTCTTAATTAGAAGTCTAGCCTATTGTGGGTGTTTCCTTCCCTGGGCTGGTGGTCCTGGGTTCTGTAAGAAAACAGGGGAGCAAGTCAGTAAGTATCACCCCTCCATGGCCTCTGCCTCAGCTCCTGCCTCCCGGGTCCTAATCTCCTTGAGTTGCTGCCTTGACTTCCCTCAGTGGACTGGGATTCATGACATGTAAGTCAAAAAAACCCTTTCATCCCCAAATTGTTTTTGGTCATGGTGTTTCATCACAGCAATAGAAATTCAAAGTAAGACAGCTCAGTTGGTAATAAAATTGCCTCATAACCATTAGAACCTGAATTCAATTCCTGGAACCCATGCAAAAAGCTGGGTACAGTGGTGCCTTCTTGTAACCCCAGCAATAGGTAGAAGGGAAGCAGAGACAGGCAGATACCTGGAGCCCCATGGCCAGGAGCCTAGATTATGTAGGAAAGTTTCAGGCCAACAAGAGACCCTGTCTCAAACACAAAGTGGGAAACAGCTAAAGAATGACACCTGGGGTTGTCTTCTGATTCCCCTGTGTGTGTGTGTGTGTGTGCGCGCGCACACACACACACACACATGAACACGCATGCACAGGATAGAAAGATAACCTACCTCTCACCATTAGATCCCAAGGCTTTCTGGTCTGTGTCTCTGCTATGAATTTTAGTAGTTTGAAATCACAAACAAAACTATTACTAGTGAATATTACTAGTGAAGATTCTCCAAAGAAAAAGAATCAGTGCATATAGATAGATAGATAGATAGATAGATAGATAGATAGATAGAGATAGATATGTGTGTGCATGTACACGTGTATAATTTGAGAGTGAAATAAAACATATAAAGAATATAGTTCACATGATTATGAAGGCTAGCAGCTAGCAAATACCAAGGTCTTCAACTGGCAAGCTGGAAAACCAGGACAGTTGCTTGCGTGCATCCTCCCCTTGTCTAAAGGATGGAACA